TAAATTGGTCCCTTCTCTGCTTTTTATTTAGTTAATTGATTTTATATTACTATACTAACTTGTCTCTATTGGATTTAAATTAGCTGTAATCTAAAATCACTAACAAATTACAAAATCGTTGAAATCCTGATTATAACTGTCTTTTGCATTCCTTTTTTTCTTTTTTTTTTTTTTTTTTGTCCTAAATATCAGCAATGAATCTATCCCATATTCAAAAACTAATCCTAAATTGAGCTTGCAACTACATGTAAATAAAAATTATTTAAATATTCAACTAATGTTGCATGATAAAAACATTATTTACCCTCTTTGAGCTTCTATCATTATGGCTTTATGGTTTCCAATAATCCCCTGGACCACATTTGTTTTTACTCCTGCACTAAATAGGAACTATTTTATTTTTTTCTTCTTTTACTTGGGCTGAACTTATCTTCTGCCTTTTGAGTTGCAGTTATTAGAATTAAGTTCTACCAATCCAAAACTCGCAGCCTCTTTATCTTTCCAATCATGATTTCATCATTTCTTTCTTTTTCCTTTTTTTTCTTTTCACACATGCATACTTTTTCATTACATTTAATTTTGTAGTTTCTTCCATTTAATAAATAATTTACCAAGAAACGATTATTTATATCCTATTCTGCCAAATTCTGGAATAAGATTTCTATTTTGATAATATAGACTTGTGACGTGGTCATATTTCTAATAGTCATTTGTTATTTTTCTAAGTATTATTCAGTCACTTGCATTTAAAAAATACTTATTAGATGTCTTTATCCAAGATCTTCTGTAATACAGTGATTGCCATTTGTATCATTTTTTTTTCTCTATCACTGTTTAAAACAAAAATTCACTTCATTTTTACCTTTTTGCTATATGAAATCTTTCAAATTGTCTCAAAAACAAATTATAATTTCATAACGAACTGGTTCTTTGTATTCCTAATATCAGTATCTACCTAAAGACATTAAAAAATTTGCTTATTGTAACCTTATTGACAGTAATGTGAGTTTCATGCTAATATTTGAGTTCTCCATTTAGGAATATAAAAATGAAAAATAATAAATGAAAAAATATGTCTAACTGATGGTATGAAACTAGATAAGACATTATGAGTGCTAAGTATTTTCATATCGCTAATTTGATGATTGATTACATTATAAAAGAAATTTGGCCTCTAAAGTTAAGGAAAAAAGTGTTATTGTAAAAGAAAATCCCTTTCACTTTGAAAAGAAATTATTGTATAAAATATTTTACTTTTTTATTAAACTGAAGATTAGTAAGTGTAATTTCCCTGTAATTCATTTTCAGTCTTTAAATTTTTAATTTTTTTTTAATTTTCAAAAGAAAGATAGAAGGCCTGAAAGTAAAATTACTTACTTGGTAAAGTGCTCAAAGCCTAGATTGCCTAGACCAAGCAAAAAACGCTTTCCAACATTAAATCCTATGAAGGGCGGCTTCACGCACATGTGATCTTCAGACAACTTGAATGGAAATGAAAGAAGGGCTTTATATAACCTGTGATTGCTATAAAGCATCATGGCAGAAAAAATAAAAATAATTTCATTAAAAAAAACCTATATGATTATTCAATATCAACTCTACCAATGGGCGTCATTTCAGATTTTTATTACTTAAACATTAGTTTTTAGTGGATACAACTACAAGTGAATAAGTAAATCTGTCAGATTAATAAATAAAAAATCCATAAGTTTATCTTTGAAGATTAGTAAATAAAATTTATTCCATAATATAAATAAAAAAAATCAATGTTACTCACATATCCTGATCTCTAGCTATTTAAGATGGGATGAGATATATCATTCTTATAGTAATCAAAGGCATTATCCAATACCAATAAGCAAACATGCTTACATGAACAGAATGCATTGTTTTTTTATTTCTTTTTACTTCATGTTAACTTTCTTTTGAATATTTTTACTTTTTAATGATTTGAAAAGTCAAATTATTTCTTGTATGCACAGATAGTTAATTGCATAGCTAAAAAATACTGATACTAATGAGGAAAATATAACCAATGCAGTTGCAAAATTAAATAGTCATTTTTTTTTTTTTTATGTTACAGATTAGCTATTTTTTATAATAGAATTTAAGTTTGAACAGATAATATCACATTAAAATTCCCAGAGATCAGTTATAAAGTATGTGCAATAAGAATTTTGAAGAGAAAAAAGCAAATTTATTTTTTAGCAGATTAAATTGATTTCACAAATTTTTGGATCATTTGTTACAAAGTGTTCCCTATGGCACTTTGGCTGATTCATTCTCAAGACTTCTTCAGTTGTAAAATCTATAAGGAAAGATGGTTGGAGAGTAGAATGGCTAAAATATTGGCGTAACAACAACTAAAGAGTTTAATATTTAGAATGGGTTTTCTCAAAATGCTGGCTAGAATTGAAATCTCTGCAGAGCTTATTCTTTCACATAAACATCAACCTTTTAATTATTACTAAAATGATTGCAAATAAAGACAACCTATATTTTATCTACCTCAGAGATGTGGAAAATATTTAGCTCTTGTTTTACCAAAAGAATTATGAAATCCTTGTTTGTTGCTTTTTTTCTTTTCTTTTTTTTTTTTTTTTACATACAAGGTATACTTTGAAATTAACACAGTAAGTTCCATACAGATAATAAATGCACTCAAGTCATATTTACTAGTTAAAACTAATAGAGATATATCTAGATTCTTCATATGATGATATAAAATAATTTTTACCCAGAAATGCCAACCATAAGTATTTGTTGAACACTTTGGACAATTGTTACTATATATTGATTTACTCTATCCATTCCTGAATGTACTTTTTATCAAGGCAGCTATAGAGTTATGGATTAACAATAATGAGTAATTCTGATTCTCTTGATAATTCTATGCATATTCAATATTTACTTTTTTAAACCTTTAATTACAGATTTTTATTTAATTAACCTGTTTCAGGATATACAGAATTTCTCTTGACTGCTTAAAATTCATCTTGTAATCTATTAGTTATAAAAATATTTACCTACTCTACAAAATAATTTTTACTTTCAATAATGTAGTTAAGTTAAATACAGAGAATTAATCTGAAAAATATTTTCCTCATTATGAATTAAGTTTTGGGTCTTGCATTTTTTTTTTTTTTCATTTTTTTTTTGAAAATGATTTTATTTTGCTTCCTTTGAGTGTTTTCAAAGTAAGATAAAAAAATTAATTTTCTTTAGACTCATTAGAAGATGTGAAACATCACAATGAAGTTTAAGTAAACTGGTTGAAACAAAGATGCAAATAGATTTCTAAGGTCTGAAATTTTCCTTAATTGTAATGTAATCTATAATAAAATTGTTCAGTGTAAACTAAAAAGTTTAATTGCTTATGAAATATATTCCTATTGTAAAATTGTTTTATTTCCTGAATGAATAACTTTTTATTCTTATATCACCACTGTCCTTCAATATCTGTCTATATCTCTGAGTTGAGGTATTATGATTGTTTACATTATTCAGATTGTTATCCTTATCTTCATTGCCATATGCTTTGTTCAAATGATTGGAATTTCGAGCCGAACTCTTCATTTTGTTCACCAGGATAGATTGTTCTAGTTCCATGTGCCATGCCTCTTTTTGATGACTCTCAGTTATTTCCCTTTAACTCAAGAGTTAAAGGGAAATAACGGGAAATGTGCCATGCCTCTTTTTGATGACTCAAAAAAACTCAAGAGTTAAAGGGAAATAATTGAGTCATCAAAAAGAGGCATGACACATGGAACTAGAACAATCTACCCTGGGGGACAAAATGAAGGGTTCAGTTCGAAATTCCAATCACCTGAAGAAGGCCGGAGTCTACAACAGGTAAAACATTGGGAATATGAAGATTAGGATAACAGTCCGAATAATGTAAATTACCACTGTCCTTTTATCATATATTTCACTTTTCCTTTTTCTTGTATTTGTTCATCATTTCTTTGATATTCTTTCTTTCTCTCTCTCAAATTATTTTTATATTTGGATTCATTCAACTTTGCCATTTTCTCACAGAGAGAATATACAAAATAATTGCTGCACTCTATTTTGTTTTTGTTTTTGTTTTTTTTTTAATTTGTTATCATTTTGATTTTAATTATTTTTCTTTCTTTCTCATTTATCGAAGACCTATGCTTGCGGTTCACATTCAATACTTAACATACCCTACTTTTTTTTCTCTCTTTTTTTTTTTTTTTTTTACCCTGCTTTTCATTTTCAAGAATCTTTCTTTTTATTTTATTAATACAAAAACATTTTTATTATAATTCTGACTTTTCCTCCACCTCCTAACACTACTGCAGTATTTAATATGTGATGGCTATACAGATATTTCAAATTTGGACACATTCAGATTGAGTTAACTGTTGGCTGAGGAGGAGAAAATTTTTTAAATTAGATTTTTAAAAAATTAATGAACTTTTTTTATGCTTTTTTATTCATAAATTAAGTTTTAAAACATTCAGTTTGGAATATAACTTCATTCCACTTATATTTTGAAAACCTTCTTCTTGAAAAGAATAATGATTCTCTTGCTTAAGTTTTTGTTTTTGATAATTTTATCCAAACACTATTTCTGCCTACCTTTACAACTATTCACTTTTTATTCATAGTAAAACCATTCTCTTCTCAGCCAAAAAGAACTCAAAATATTTGAGATTTGAGTGTGTATGCGTGCGTGCGTGTTTTACTAGAGGTTTGTCTCCAATTCTTAACCAGTGCTGTCCTCCATAGTATAATCATATTTGGTTGGTTAGGTTAAAAAGAAAGAAGTTGCTTTCTTAAACAAGCTCTTGTGTTTCTGTTGACTTTAGGGATTTGACTTAATAAATTTGTACTCTTGTTCTTATTCACTCTTTTACATGAAACTTGAATTTTACAAACTTGTTGCATTTTGTCAAAATTGCATTGATTCTTTATTTTTTTATTTTTTTTTTAAACTTTTACTTTACTTTTTTTCCCTCCCATTCATTCTACAGTAGGGTTGGTTCCCGAAGTAGTATTGGTGGCTATGCTCGAAGTGAAGCAGAACTGGAGCAAATTATGGATGGACTCCATGAACAGGAGGTAGGAATAAAGTTATTTCTGTTATTTATTTTTGTTACATCTATAGGCTATCAATTAACAATTTACACATTGTTGGCTGGCTGTGCTGGCCTGTTTTTTGCTGGGTGGAGGGGGGTAGGAAATTGTTATTTATTGGGGTGGGGTGTGACTACAGAATTAATGACAGTAATTTCCAATGGATACTGTACCACACCACTTGGTCACAATGACAAATATGCCCATCCACTCAGTTGTGGCACCCAATATACATACACTCTTGCTCGCCATGCTAGCAATTTTCTTTCTCCTCTTATTATTGTTAGTACCAAATACCAAGCAAATAGTACATGTTGCAAGCAGGGAGTGTCTTTCGTCCATTTGGAGTTTCTATCTTACATTAGTCTTCAGATAAAGTCAGCCTATGTGGATTTGTTGTATACCTGCCAAAATGCACCTCTTGAAGTACTCTTTTGTACAATTTGGTGAGCCATGATTTTTGGTTTCTGAGAAGCTTAACTTGAAATGTGAACAGATTATAAGCAGAGAAGCAGAAACAATTAACAACAAATTAATAGTATAATCTGTTCAAAAAGTTTACAATCAGTCTTGGTTGAATTTTACACTAAGATCTTGAATTATCAAGAAAGGGATAATTGCTATATTAGACAAATGTGTTTGTAAGTTTGTATTTCTTTCAGCCTGAGAATAAAATGAATGACAAAGCTCTCTTCTAGTGAGAAATTATACAAACTTTGGACCTGGTTCATAAACCTTCCCCGTTTTTTGAACAGGAGTAGAGGTTTATCCCTTATTTCCTGTTTAAGATTGGGTTTCCATTTCCTAAAGTTTTCTCATTTTCTTTCACCTCCAGTAACCCCTTGCATCTTAGTTACATTATCACGTTTCTTATGCGTGAAATGATTAAAAAGAAGAAAAACACTCACTTCGAGATCCCTGTGTGATTATGAGCAGACTCACAGTGGAGGAACTAACTGCTTGGTCTTCTGGCAACTGTGTGCTTTGGTTTATATATACTTCCCTCTGGCAGATGACATTGATGGATATTATACCCAAACAAAGAACTTCATATTAGCATTGCATGTGACCCATGCTTCTAAAGTACTCAGGACCAAACATTTTTATAAGAATTCAATGTAAGTTGGCTCAGTAGGATGCTAAAAGAACATTTCCCAATTTCATCTGGGTTTTCCAGAATTTTGATAAGCACATTAATCCTGAAACAGCAACTTCCTCAGGTATGAAAGATCGAGCAGGGAAAATTTAGTTGTACGGAATTTACTAAATCTTACTAGGTTTATTTTGGGTTTAAATCTTACTGATGCCATTCTCCTAGGCATTTTATGTTCTGATTAATATTTTTAAACCAAACTTTTTTCATGAGGTTCCAATCTCATTAACTATTCAGCTACAGTTGGGGTGGGGTGGGGTGATGAGCTCATATTTTTTTTTTTTTTTATTCCTTCACCAAATATTCTAAGCTCATATACATCAGTTGGTAAATGACGTTTCATATACTATACTCCATCAGGATCACTGCCATTTTGATTTTGATAGGATTCTAAGCTAAACATCATCTCCAACACAAAATCAAAGACAAACTGTTACTGTAAACCTGCACATGCACAATTGGCTCTATTGTGTCAGTGTTTGCTGGAGGTAGGCAACTGCTGCTAGTAGTATTATTGCTATCATCTGTTTTATTACCATATTATTTGAAAACAATATAAATAGAGAAGGTTGCCAAAACAAATTTCATTCAATATATATTTTGTTTTTATACAATGTATATAGCTTTGTAATTTATCTATGTAAATAAACCCAATATTTTAGCAGATACTATACTTGTTAATATATAATAACATGATATATATTTAAAAAATATGTGACAAGCGTAAAAGAACGACTTGTGCTTCATTGCAAATTACTAAAATAAAATTATTTATAATATCTCTTCATAGTAAGATTTTCTGTTTCAATGATTTTATTCGTTTAATGCTCATAAATATTTTTAAAAAAATAAATAAAAAGGGTAGAATTTATGATTTTGGGCTTGTTTTTTGGGGTTTTTTTTAATGAATGAAATCCTTTGTTTGCTGATTTCATGAATATTGTCCTTACAGGAAGAAGACAAGAAAATGCGCAGCTATGCTGTCGTGCCACCAATGATGTTGGATGCAAGGGCACGGAGTCTTAAGTTTATCAATAACAATGGTTTGATTGAAGATCCTATGGCAGAGTTTAAAGAAAGGCAGCACTTAAATATTTGGACTCAACCAGAAAAAATGATATTCAAAGAAAAATACCTCCAACATCCAAAGAATTTCTGTCTAATTGCTTCATTTCTTGAACGGAAGGTATTTGTTTTAATTCCCCTGCCTCATGCAATGTTTTAATCACGTTTTGAAGAAATTGAATATTTTAAAAGTTTGATTTCTCCCACATCATTGTTTCTGCTCAGTAATTTTTTATGACCAAATTTCGTACTGTATATTTTATTTTTTCAGAAAAATGTTTTGGAAATTACAAGATAGCAATTTTTTTTTTTTTTTGTTATAGTAAAATAAATTCTGGTACCACAAATGTTCATATTTTGTTATACAGTGGCATAAGGAAAGTTTTTAGCCAGGAGAAATAAACTACATCCAATTTCAAAATTTAAATATATAATCCCTACTCAATATAAACAAACAGTATTTGGAACTAGTATAGAATAGGTCAATTTGCTAGTTTCAGTGCTTGTATTGGATTTTTTTTTTTTTTTTTTCATGGATTTGATCAAATTATCAACAATCGTCTGATGTGGCAAAATTTCTTTTAAATGTTGCCACTGACATGATTTTGGTTGCATGCTCTCAGTTTTTGGTGAAGGTGCTCCCAAACGCGCTTTATTGGATCCATGTCAGGACTTTGGGCTACCCATCGCAGTAATTTGATTCCTTGCAATTCCTTCCAGGCTTTTGCTACTTTGCTCGTATGACATAGCACTCCATTTTCTTGAAATAGATTAGAGTAGCTTGATACTAACACGGTATTGTCTGAAAAAAAAAAAAAAAAAAAAAGATACATTATTACACAAGCCAAAATTGCTGTAATTAAGGGTGGCTAAAAACATATCATAGCCCACTGTATTGTGACACAATGCCAGATATGAAAATAATAAAAAATAGTTGTACATTTTTCTCAGTCATGCATTTTTGTTCAGAGATTTAAGACTTGAAATGAAAGAATAATTTTGTTTTCTGTAAATCAGAAAAAAACATTTTAAGCACAAAATTGGTAATATAAGAGAGAATAAATATGTATACTTTAATAATTATTAAAACCTTGATTAACTGTCTTTCATTTCAAAGAATCTTAACCTTTAGCATTCTGCATTATTAATAATACTTCCCTTTCCACTGCATTCTTTTTCAAGGCCTCTCAATTGCAGTATCCTTATTGTTAATTTCTTTCAAAGTTGTTTTCTGTTGCCTTAGGATAAGACAACACAACTATGAAATTCAAACAATAATATTATTCATGGATCAGAAACACCTTCAATGGCAGGATAAACTTTTTGTACTACAAATGAAGTCACATACACAGTGATAAACATTAAAAAAAAAAACTTTGTTATAAATAATAATAATTTTCTTAGAAAAGTTAAAATGTTGTAAACTCAACCAATCTAATACTGCCACAAGAATAACTCCTTGAAAAATCAAATTTCATAGCTGTAATGTTAATCTTTGGTTTGTTATTAACAAATTTGAAAAATAATTTTGAAATATGTGAAGTTTCATGAGTTATATATTGACTATGAAAATTTTGTGGTTAAGAAATGTTTTGATTTTTGAAGATGGTTACACTTGGGCAAAATAAATCTTTTGATACTTTACTGCAAAATATTACCAAAAAAGGACTGAAGTCTTATTTTAAAAGATCTTTTTCAACCTGTTAATTGTGGCGAATGATAGGAATTTCTATCATTGCTACTCTGGATTCAATTGCATATAGCAAATTTCTGTTAGATTTAATGTTCAGAAACCATTTTTAATTTTTATTCTTCCTTGTTTGTTCATTTGAAATGCTAGCACCTGAAATGATATTGTTCTGCCTTTCAGACTGTTGCAGATTGTATATTACATTATTATTTAACAAAAAAAAATGAAAATTTCAAGCAGTTATTACGAAAACAGGGCGTGAAAAAAAGAAGAGCATTTCCTAAACCACAGGCAAGTAGAGAAAAAATCTTTTTGTTCTATACATTCATTTAAAAATAATATAAAATAAAGAAATCCTGATGTGGCTATAAGCTTCATATTTCTGTTGTGAATAGAATTGAAGTAGAATCTGGTATTGAAGGCTGTTTAAATCATTCTACTAAATTTAGACACAATTGGACAAAATGACTGTCCCAATCCTCCTCTTCCACCTACTAAACTACAGAATATAGGAACTTCTTGAAGAACAGGATTTGAAGAAACTATTAAAAATATGGTTTGTTAATTATTCAAGGAATTGTGAATTATAATTAAAAATTACCTTTTTTTAAAATGATTAAAATAATTTTAAGCAGTTATGTATAACTCTTTCAAGATATTTCTAACGGAGTGTTTCACTGTATCACAGCTCATCAGTGTGGCTAGACATCCGATAAACGCACACACACACTTATACATTTTGTTCCTCATTGATAGCACAACTCTGTATATTATTTATTAGTATAAACATTAGCTCTGTTATTACACCTTGAGTGCTCTTCTATTAACACCAGCACTCAATGTGCATGTAAAATTTCAAATATAACCAAAAATATCTCTGACAATAAGAATAAAAACAAAAGGAAAACTTATCTTACTAAGATAATATAAATATTAATTACAGTGTTAAAAAAAATTACTTACTTTTGTTTATTAGACATTAAATTACATCACTTAGCATCTTCCATAATTTACCTTGACTTTCCGGTTAGTCTGATCAATACTCATGAGTGTTCATAAATTAAAAAATTTTGAAAAACTAACATTTTTACTTTTTGCTTATGAATACTTATTGCAAAATAAAATTTGAGACTCAATTCAGTACCTGAAGATTGCGTTGTGCATGAAATGCTGAGTTGTGCTACTGGTTTAATATATATTTATTAATATGTAATTCATAGCTCTGTTATATTACATCGAGCACTATTTTATCGACATTAGCACTCAATGTGTGCATGTATGTGACTACAATTGATCATTGAATAAGAAATTGTTCATTTGAACCAATAAATGGTTCATATTTTTACCTGTTACATTTACAAAACAATACAAACATTAATAAATGTAAAAGAAAAAATATCAAGTATTGATTTTTTTTTTTTATGCACATTGATTCTTTGTAACTAGAAATTATTTTAAAATTATGTATTGTCTCATAATTATTGTTTGATTTTAATACATTTAATGCCCAACATAAGGAGAACATATTATTAGTATACTTATATCACATAATATTTGTTACATTTGCATACACATTTCATATACTAACTGTACTAACTCTTGTGGCAGATGTAGATTTTTTTTTTGTTGTCTTTTTTTTATATTTACTTTATAATTTTTTTGTTTAAATTGAATTTTAGATATCTGTATTGTTTCTAATTACAATTAGCACCCCATAGTCATTTTTAAGTTTTGATAAAATCTTTGGTTAAAAATTTTAACCTGCAATTTTGTTTTTTTGCTATGTTTGCTTTAATAACAAACCAGTGTCATAATGTGTGCCATTTTTATTTCAGCCTTCTGTGAGTAGACCTATTGATGTTAAAGAAGAAGTACCTCCTAAAGATGAACGTGAGGAAAGTACAAGCAGTACAAGCAGTTGTATAACCACCAATACAACTACAACCACTTCCACCTCAACTACTAATTGCTCTACAACAACCACTTCAAGTAGTAGTAGCAGTAATAGGTGAGTGACAGTAATCGCAAAGAATCATGGTTTTATTAATAGCTTATGGTCATACTCCTGGGAATGGAGGACCTCTCTACCATGCTAGGCTGCAATTATCACAATCCAAGTAGGGGGAAAATTTCATTTAATTCAAAAAAAGATTAGAAATCTTAAAATCATTCAAACTAGGCTGAGTGATAAGTCACTAACTCTATATAAGAAGTTTTAGACCAAATAATGAAATTGTTATCCAAATCAAGTCAATTTTCTCTTCAAAAGTTTATATTTTACAAGTTTATTTTTCTACATTGATGCCATTTAAAACTACAAATCTTTCCAAACAATTTATCCATTTTTTTTTTTTTTTTTTTTTTTCATTCTGTACATGGAGAAAATTTTCGGATGGCTTTTGACTGAATTACAATCACCAACTTTGTTTTGAGATGAAAAAGAATAACCTTTCAATGCATCTTTCGATTTTGGAAACAATCAAGAAGCCTGATGATGTCAAATCAGTGTTACATTGAAGGTTGACTGCAATGTGGCATTGTATTGTCATGATGCAGCAACAAAAAGAAAAATGTTCTCTTTTCAAACATTATTCTGTAGATATGTTGTTTGACTCTTCTCAAGGCTTCATTGTTTTTATGTGTCTGAATAAATTGACACTGAGCACATTAGAACAGGATGGAAGGAAGTTCTACTCTGACAGCTTCTTCCCAAGAACCACTATTTTGTAAAACACTCTCAAAAGAATGCTACATCCACGGCAAGGTCTCTGATGAAGAGATTGGAAGTTTTGAGGAGCATGAAACTCATCTCTTAATTGCTGTTAGTCCTAGGCCCACCCTGACTCTGGTTGGTAGCACTTATTAGGGTTCCAGCTATGAGCAAATAGTGGGACCCCCAAACAAAAACAGAACACTATGAAAGTAGCAAAAATACCAGCAATACATTTTTATATAAAATAGCAACTGTTCCCCAGTTTTATAGCAAAATTAGCAACAATACATTTTATGTCTAGTTGAAGGTATACAATTACGTTCAAATTATTTAGATTTTTGGCATTAAATAACCCATAGAGGTTGATATGCCACTAAACAAAATCACCTAACCAACTGGGAGAATGCTTCTCCAATCACTACAATCTTAACCTCTACACGTCTAGGGTTAACTATTATCTTTTCCACATATCCTCCTAAACTGCTCTTAAACCCCCCGCTTTCAGTAACCATCTACCTTGAGTGGCTCTTGGGCCTTGTACTGAGTGAACATTAGTAAAAAAAAAAAAAAAAATAAAAATTGTATATAATTGAATACATATTCCTGTCTTTCATGTGAGAGATGCCCCACTATAAGTCCCCTTACTTATTAGTCAATGATCTTAGCAATTCCATTTATATGTGAATTTTGTATACTTATTGAAATGAATGAGTAGCACTAGATAATATAATGTCCTTCAGTAATCACCTAGTGACAAGCAAGTATCTGATTGTATTTTAATGATTATTCGCTTATTTTGTCCATCTTCATTTCAGTGTGAAAAAAGAACCTGATGAAAAAGAATCAGAAGAATCTCTGGAAGATCAAGAGACGAATGTAATTTCTATAGGAACAGACTCAGAAAGTAAGTGCTTAATGAAATAAAAAGAAAACTTAATGGCCATGGCTTATTAGAATTCTGACACTTCAATCTGTGTAAAATGCTGTTACTGAAAGTGGCACAAAAAAAAGTTCTCTGCTACCTTTTTTTTTTTTTCTCTTTCACTTTTCTCGTTCACTTTTTTTTTTTTTTTCTCTTTCACTTTTTCTCTTTCAAAATTCGCTTCTGGCTTCTTGCTTCCCAGTCAACTTTGATCTTCAAAAGTTTAAATGCAATGTCAATAGTTATCCCTCTGTCTTAATTTTTGTTCTTTTATTGTCCTCTCTCTTTAATAATAGATTTTCTCATATTCTCTAACACTCAGTAACCCCTAGTTTGGTTTGTTTTGTTTTACGGCATATCAACCTCAATGGGTTATTTAATGTTGACAAAATTTTCATTGTTGGTAATATTTTTTTTCCTTCAAAAATCTATTTCTGGTAATAATTTTCCTTTGCTGGTAATATTTTTTCTGAGAAAATGTATTGCTGGTAATAATTTTTTTACAAAGTATTTCTGGTATTAAAACCTATTTTTACATTTTCATGGTGTTTTGACCCCAGATTGGGGCTTAACTATTTGCCCATAGCTGGGATTCTAACAGGTGCTACCACCCCAGGTCAGAGTGAACCTGGGAACACCAGCAATTAAGAGGTGGTTCCATGCTCCTCAAAACCTCCTGATCAGAAGCCTTGCTGTTGGACGTAGTTTATCGTCATACCCAGGATGGAGTAACCCCTAGTGTTCTAGTGGCTTTATTGCCCTGTTTGGGGTGAAATGATAAAAAAAAAAATAGTAAAAAACGAATTCACTGAAATTAAAGTTGACCTTTTATGCAATTGATAAACTTTATTTACGTTGAGATGCAGATTTCTGCCAGATTTGCAATGTGCATTTTCTTTCTTGCTTCACAGTAAAACTTTTGAACTTAGAAAAAATTGTAAAAAAATAAAATAAAATTATTCCAAGCATTGTTAGCCGTGTTAAAAATTTTAAACATAATGTATTTTACCCATTTGATAAATGAAAAGAATTTAGTTTCACAATTTTAAGACATTTTATCCCAATTTTTTTCTTTTTGCTTATTTCTTAAGAAATCTCATTCCATATTTTGCACTGCAAATTAATTCACTTGAACAAATTCCAAATTATGTATTCTTTATTTCACAATTGTGCAAATGCCTTTGCTTTCTTTTAATTTAAACTTATTGGTGTTAAATACTTTATTAATTCCATGTTCATGAATTTTATTTTGTATTTTTCAGCAGGAGCAGCCCATCAGTGTGCACTGTGCATGACTCAATTGGAAAATTTCAGCCAAAGTCGTCCAATTTCTATATCCGATTGTTCCATGTATGGTATAACAGCATCTGAAGTAAAACCAGACATGCGTGTTTGTAACTCTTGTCGGGCTCGATCAGTCAAACAGTCACGTTGTGTTCAGTAAGTTTTCTTATCCCTTGGTTGATGCCAAAAATGTAACATTAAATTACTTAGAATTGAAAACAATACATTTCTTAATGTGGTGCCTTTACAAAAGGGAAAAAAAATGCAGTAATTTTAGAATGTAAGAAACAGATGACTAAAGCTATGAGTTGACTTGTCCTCATTCCTTTCATATTCCACTTGTAAGGAAGAAGTTTCATTCAGACAGTTTCTTCCACAGAAAAGACTCCCCAAAAGGATTCTTTCCCAATCACTACAATCTTAACCTCTTAAAGTCTCAGGTCAGCTATTATTTATCGTACATATCCTCATCATATGTGCCACTTGCTCCTTCTTTGTATGCCCTTAGAACAACCTTATTTATGAGCCCTCTACCTTGACTGCTTCTTGGGCCTTGTATTAGATGAACAATAATATTAAAAAAAAAAAAAAAAAATTCAGGTTCATATTTAATAGAATGTTTCAGATTACTTTTTGGGTAAAAATTAGAAACCAAACAAATGATTATTAAAGTTACTGATTATTTGTCAACTCTTCTTCTTCATTCAGGATGTTGGTGATAATGACTCTCTACAATTTCCTGTCCTTTTTTGGTCTTAGTAAATTTTGTCTTTTTGCTCTCTTTATCTAAACCCTGTTACACAAGCTTGTTAGATAGGTTGTGCATTTTCTTCTTACCTTCAATATGTCCTGTGAGTCAAATTTTCCAAGCTCTCTTTCCTGATTATATACCCTAAAAATTTCAACTATTTCTTCTTAATGTTAAGTATAAGTGTACTTTTTATTGCCATTTTCTCTAAAACTTTGTTGTTGTTCACATGTTCAGTCCATGATATTCTCAGCATCCTTCAGTAGAACCACATTTTTGTTACTTCAAGTCTCTTCATCATCCATAAGGAGATTGTTCAGCATTCACTGTCATATAGGAGGACTGATACTACATGACAATTCCGTACTGTTTTCTTTGTTTATTTAATAAAAATATTTTCAGTTTGCTTGCTTAGTATTGTTTGGGCAATCAATCAATTGAAGTTTGTTGCTTATGATATTTACAAGCTTAAAGAAAAATTCTAGAATGAAGAAACTAAGTTCCACATGTACTTACCAAAAAAGAAACATTGGTCAGTATTTAAACACTTGCTTTGCTCTTCTTGCTCAAGACAGAATTGTTTTTGGATAAGATAAGCACTGGTCAATGAAAAATTGTTTTTTTTTCTTTTATAAGAATCCAGAAACTAAGACAATCATGACTTTATTCAGGAGAATATACAGTACCTCAGAAGAACGGGCTAAAACGATGAACTGTTACTATGAAATGCAATTGTTTCAATTGAATGACATACTTTAGACAAAAAAAACCTTTTTCCTTGGCAATGAAATTGAATTGGCCAGTGATTTTTTTTTTTTTTTATTACCATGAGATTGCTCAGACTGTCATTTTTATTCCAGGCAATAATTTTGTCTTGTCAGCAGTTTTAACAAAATATTAGCAATGCAAAAGTCTTATGATATAAATTTAAGAAAAAAAAATCTTTGTCAGAAAAAATCTGAGAAGCTAATCTACTTAATAATTCTTGTTTTGCTGTCATTTTGTGTTTTGTATTAACAGCACTTTCTTTCTCTACAGATGTCCTGTGCCTACTTGTAAAACACCAAAGCGAAAGGTGAAACGTCTCAGACCTTTACCTGCAAAGTGGGCAGAATTGTCGGCTGAAGTTAAAGAACCCATCATGAGAGAAATGCGTGAGTAATATCCAATCTCTAAACACTAGCATCACTTTTCAAACTGCATTTGGTATATCAACAGCAGCTCATTAAGCCTTTCTATAGTGGCATCGTATTTATTTAACATTTGTTTATGGGGGGGGGTGTCCAGAATGTGTCTCACTCGACTCCCATGTATCATCCTGTTTTAAGAACTTGCATGAGGCTGCATGGATGCCCAAAATGTCACTTCAAGGATCAGTTGAAAACATTCCTGACACAGTCCAACATTAACCCTGAGACTTGGGAAACCATTGCTGCAAATCACCTTCCTGACATAGGACCATTAGAGTCCAACTGTCAACATGAAGAGGATCTGCAACATGCTGTCAGGAGAGCCCAACTAACCCAGCTGTGTCCACCACCCACACTCCTCTATGACTCCTGCTTGTAACTCTTCAGGAGTAGGCTGGGCCTTCACAGTCATCTCAATCACCATCACCAGAGGGGAGAAAGGGAATAAGGAGAGAGGATGACTATCCCAATGATTGAATGTGAGCAAGTGCCGACAAGCGAGGGGGTGGGGCTATATATATAAGAAATCTCTAATTGCTATAATCACCCCCACCCACCAACTATTTCACCCAAAAGACAAAATACTAAAAGTATTTTGATAAATCATCAATTTAGTCAATATAAAATGATTCCATTCTTGTATTGGTATGTGCAGCATTTCATCATACATTCTTTAAAGAACAATGAAAATTGATTTGAATGCTTCAGAAATCTTATGTTGATTGAATCATTTTCCTGTAATCTTAGAGAAGCAAAGATATATATATATATATAAAAAATCTAGATAAATTCTTAAATTCTAGTTGAACATTTTATTACTGTCTAATAGTATAAAGCAATACATTTATTTCTGGTGTAAGCATACTTGTAAGAAATGGCAAAAAGACAGTTTCCTTCACTTCAATTTTGTCAATATAAAGGAAATTCTAGTTTAATAACTTTAAGATTATTGCAACATCAAAACATCATGTTTGCAAACTGTATTGTAATTAGCATAAAACAAATCTTTTGCAGTTCATATTCTTTCTCTTTGTATTTCAGAAATTTCTGAAGACATTACTCGATGCTGTGCAGTCTGTTTCAATAGAATAGCTCGTCAGTTAGGCACAAATCCTCAAACCAACGAGCCATTAATCCCTTTAGTTCCAGAGAATAATGATGGTAAGTTAAAACATTGACCATCTTTTGGTAGTTTCCACCTGGCATTACTTCACTTCATATGTGCTATAAGTTATTTTTTTCATGCCATGCTGTTGAATCACCTTCATTCTCTTCTATTCAGCCAGGGTTGTTAAGTTGACCCAGATAGAGATAAATATGTTCTCTTATTGGTTCTCTCTCCTTAATAGTGTTTGTTTTTTTTTTTTGTTTTTTTTTTTTCCTCATATTCTCTAACATTCAGTAATCACTTGCATCTTAGTGGCTTCATTGCCATGCTTGAGGTGAAATGATTAAAAAAAGAAAAAAAAAACTGATGCTAGAAATAATAAAACGAGATTTATTTCATGTCACATTTATAATTGATTTTCAAATCTTTTGAGCAGAGACACTCACAAAATTTTGTGCTTTATATATTAGATATATAATACTACAAGTGATATTAAATTAGATAATCTTTCATGTAATTGTATTTTTATTCAGTTTCTACAGCTGGAAACATATTGTTTAATTTTATCATCCTTATTTGTAGAAGTGGTTGAAACATCTAGATGGACAGAAGAAGAAATGGAGGTTGCTAAACAAGGTAGGCTGCTTTTATCATTGTCATTTTTAATGCTTCAAAGAATAGCTCCATTAGAGAAATATTTAACTGTTTGCATGTTAGTTTTGCTATATTTGTCTTGTGATGATTGTAGCATGATCCTTAAATTCTATGTAAAATACATCATTTCTTTCATGATTTGGTGTTTTCAAAGTTTCTAGGTCTTAGATTCATTAGGAAGTAAGATTTCACTTGATTTTCAACTTAGAAAATATCAAAATTGCATGCCTTTTTTTTTTTTTTTTAATCCAAATAGAAAACTTAGGGTAAAACATCCTTTTTGTGTTCTTGTATCTTTTTATTTAACTCTTCATCTCAGTGTGATTTTGTTCTTAATTTCCTTGTTTTAGTGCTTGTTGTAAATCTCAACCTTCAATTTTAATGTTTTTTTGTTTTTTTTTTTGTTTTTTTGTTTTTTTTTGTTTTTTCATATATAAAAGTGTACATGAGTGAGTATCTGCAATTTTTTTTTTTTTTTTTTTTTTGTTGGAATGCTTGCATTGATGTACGTGTTTGTTCATTCTGTTCCTTATCCTTCTCCAGTTGGAAACTCAATCTGTAAGGTAAACGGTTTGTTGAGGGTAACATTGATTATTGAAATGTTTGCGTGATAATTTTGGAACTTGGTCAGTCATTTAATATGACTGTTTTAATAAAGTTTGGAGCAGGACTTATTGCTCCAACAAAATTGTCCTGTTAACTTTGATCACAAAAAATTTTTTTTTTTTTTTTTTTTAAATCCTCAAATGTTTGAGTTTGTGAAACAAATGTTTCACTCAAATAATCATTATTCATGGGTCCAACAAGAGAGCATGCCTATTGATCACACCACCAACCTGGTTATGGAATAATCAATTATGACCATTGAAGATGTTTTATAAATGTCAGTTGTCTGACTTATGGGTTGCAAATAGCTAAATCTATTTTGATGTCAGAGGTTAGAGTTTTGCATTTTTGCTTTTCATAAACACAAGAGAGATATGTGACTTCTTTCTTGTGTGTTTTGTTCATTTGTTTGTTTTTCAGCCAAATACTGATCCACTTGTCTGGATAAGTGAAGAAATCACTTCACTCTAATAGAGACAGCTTTTCAGTTTGTAAAGGCCTTTTTAAAATGACACAAAAGGTTGCTTAAATCAATAATCCAGAAATAAAGCACCAGGTTATTTGCCCAAAGAAAACCTTTGTACAAAATTACTTCATTTCTGTATCCAGTACATAGCAAACTTGTCTCCATTTCCTTCAGTTTTATATTTGCTTGTTACATGGGTCCCTTAAACAGGAAACCAACAAAACCCCTCCTCCTCCTCCACTCTCACCCTCTGTAGAATAAGACACAACTGTCAAAGAATATGATGAGAAAATCTTGACAAATTTGCTTTGTACCATAGTTCTTCACAAGTGACCCCAATTCTTTTTGAAGGTTTACGGGAACATGGCAGAGACTGGGCAGCTATTGCAGGCTTAGTTGGAACTAAGACAGAAGCCCAGTGCAAAAATTTTTATTTCAACTATAAGCGGAAGCTCAAGTTGGAACTAATCTTACAAGAGCATCATAAAGAAAAGGTATGTGTGTTCAATCAGTTTTATCTCGATTATAAAGCATTTCTTATCATTTACAAGTTCCTAACTCTTAGGCTTGCAAATATCTTACAAGTCTTAATGAGGTTTCAACTTTTGTTGACACTTTTTAGTGTTTATTTATATATAAAGTTGTGCATGACTTTTATCATATAAGATTCTATTCTAAATAAGGTAATAGCAAGAGAAAAATCTTTTTAAAATTACTTCATATTGCTCTCTTTATCATTTGTTTTCCTTTCAAAATCATTAAATATTTGTAATTATTTTTCAAGTTTATTTCAAATGTATGGTTATAAATCAAGTGAACAAATACCAAATAAATTAATTACTCTGAGATGCTCATAGTCCATCTTGTGGGGCGGGGTTCTTGTTTTAGGTCACTCTTGGATCCTCAGAACATGTAAGCAGCAACTGCAATGAGTTAGATGACTCAGATGAAAGTTGTAACACCATATTACATATGAAGCACATTTTTTGGTTGCATTTTGAATCCTCTACTTTGTGGTGGTTAACTTATTTGGTGTTTAACATTTGTTGCTCAATTTTATTTTTACTTTTTTTTTTCTTTTCTTTTCTTTTCTTTTCTTTTCTTAATGAAAGTTATGAAATAATAAGACATCATTGCTTAAAACTCACAAAATATTCCAAAGATTGGAGACAGTTGACTATACATTCTTTAACTGAAACTTCCTTTTTTTCATATTTGTTTTTCTTTTTTCTTTTTTTTTTTTTTTCCACTCTTAGCAATCTGGTACTCCACGGACAAGAACAATATCGGTGGCATCCACAGTAACAGTTCAGTCTGAAGAAGATGATGTTTCATCAAGTGGAGAGGAGAATCCAGATGATGACTCTGATACGGCGAGTGCCCCAAGCCCTCCCCCAATCAGGCAACAACAAGATGCTGATCCAAGTTAGCACACTGTCTATACTCATATGTATACAACCTAGATCAATTTATTTAAAAAAAAAATTTGTTTTAATCAAATTTTTCATTGACATTCAAATGTATTCTACCTCTGACATTTATTTTTTTATTTTTTAATAAAGCTAAAAAAGTTTTGTAATATTTTTTTTTACCTATATAAATTGACTGCCTTTTGAGTTTTCAATTAACTTATGATCACTCAAAACAGTCCAGAAATTATTATTTTTGTGAATTTTTAGAATTTGTTTATTTGCTTTTAATAGCCTTTTTTTTCCTTCCCCCACCCGATTATTTTTTTATTTTACATTATGGACATCTGAATGCCAAAGAATTTGTGGCCCTCAGTGTCTTTTCCACCTGTCATTTCTGTTTTTAGATTACTGAAAATGACAGAAATATCTATACCTTTTTCAAATATTTAAATAAGAAAAAAAAAATCATGTACAGTACTTTTAAAATAAGAAAACTTCTTTCAACTGGTCTAATTGAGTGGTTACAAAATGGGTGATCAATAGGCAAATTTTTATGTCCTAAAAGGAAAAAAAAAAAAAAAATGGTAACCAAATCAAGTGCTGAATGTATACATGACATGATTTGAATCTGTGATGGTTTATATTTAAAACTTTGCAACAAATTTTAATTTAAAAAAAAAAAATATTAAATGCTAACTTCATATATTTGTATTGTATTCATGTGTATTTTCTTGATTAAAAATCAGATTTCAGATCAGATAGGCTTTTTAATTTATATTGCTAAAGTTTTGCATTTCCCTTTGTATTTTAGTGAATCAAAAAGAGCAAGGTGCAGAATCCGAAAGCCAAGACAGGGGATGTATTGATAATGCTGAACACCAGTCAACACTTGGTCCTGACAACAACCTGACCAGTAACAAACCTCTGAGTGACTCCCAAAGTAGCCTCCGTAGCATTGCTGATAATGATAGCAGTGCTACGATGAGTGCTGATGAAAGCTCTCACCAGGATCCTGGTACCCTACCTATCTCCACGCCCACATCGTCCATCTCACGAACAGATACACCAACAATTGTCAGTGAGAGGCCACCAGCTCCAGTGACCTATAATGTACCTTCAATGCAACCAGAGCAAACTCTTTTGAAGGAGCCACGTCCTGCATCTGAAGGTGTGGATCTTTCTCACAGTGGCGGCTTTTCTCCTTTTCTCTTGACACCTCAACAGTCACCCCATCGACCAGCAAGTGCTGTGTCTGAGCCTGGGCGGCCAGTTAGCTCTCCACGACCCCAATCAGCTGGCCCAGCATCCATGGAGAAAAGCTACATAGGCCTACATCATGATCATGAACAGCAAACTGTCCTCAGAGATAGCAGTGGTCCCGGCGGGAGCAGCAGCAGTAGTAGCCTCTCTGGCAACTGTACGCAACAAGACCCCAAGAAACAGAAGCCTGCTTGTGTCAGAGATCTCATTCACTCAGCCATTGAGAGAAACTTGAGCCGAGGAGAAAGCAACCCCGAATCCACTATAAGCAGTAAGTCGGAAACGTTTATCCCTCGAAGCTATTGTAAGTCGGAAACGTTTATCCCTCGGAAAGTCGCTTATCCTCGGAAATTGTCGGAAACGTTTATCCCTCGGTCGGAAACGTTTATCCTATTGTAAGTCGGAAACGTTTATCCCCTCGGAAACGCTATTGTAAGTCGGAAACGTTTATCCTCGGTTATTGTAAGTCGGAAACGTTTATCCTCGGTTATTGTCGGAAACGTTTATCCCTCGAAGCTATTGTAAGTCGGAAACGTTTATCCCTCGAAGCTATTGTAAGTCGGAAACGTTTATCCCTCGAAGCTATTGTAAGTCGGAAACGTTTATCCCTCGAAGCTATTGTAAGTCGGAAACGTTTATCCCTCGAAGCTATTGTAAGTCGGAAACGTTTATCCCTCGAAGCTATTGTAAGTCGGAAACGTTTATCCCTTAAAAATATTAAAATGGTTCATTTTAATTGATTCATAGTCAAAGGTCATATATTTTAATTTTATGTTTGTATTTTTTATTAGACAAAAATTTATATAGGAAATTACTAAAAGAAAAAATTGATATTTAATGGTAGTCCTTGCCAACTGATAAATGTCTATTTAGAATTGAATGAATATTATTAATTTCAGAGCTTTTATTGCATTTACTAGTTTTTTTTATACACCCTTTAAGTATCAAACTTATATGGAAAAATTAAAAATAGTAAATTTGTATGTCAACTGTACTGTAGATTTCTTAAAAAACTATATACACAGTTCGATTTTATTATGCATATCAATGTTTTCACAATAAAATTTAGATTAACCAACCAATATTTGTGAAATATACCATGTGCATATAAATTTATGTATCTTTTATTAAAAATAATTAATAAAGACTTGTGGTGGTGGTGGAGGGGGTTGCTGGTTTTATAAGGCAAATTAGAATTTTTTTTATATCCTAAGCATTATTTCATTTAACATCAAATTATAGTGCTTTTAAAAATTGACGTGGCATTGTTTTAAATTATAAACATATAGGAAATGTTCTTTCTAATTTCAAGGATTTCAGCTGATATTTCTAAGACTACTTGATTTTAAAAAACCATAAAAAAACAGTTTTTCCCTCTCAAATCATATTTCTTTATACAATCTTTTTATATTTCTTTATTTTGATTTTTTTGTTATATATATATATATATATATATATATATATGTCTATTTTCTTTAATTTCCAATTGTTATTTTTCTTTTTTTTTTTCACAGAACCTATCCTGTCTGAAAGTCCTGTGATGGTTGGTAGGAAGCCCGTGCTTTCTAGTATTGGTCATAATATGCCACAGGACCTCCGAAAAGAAAGGAGGCTGGAACAGAACCCGTATATGTTTCCAGAGATGAATTACAGAGGAATCGCTGCACGCGATATGCACGATCCACGAGAAATGCGCGATTTTGTCGAAGTTCAGGATTTATCTCGACGTCCTATTGACTATCATGACAAAACTCAGAAAGCCTACAAAGGAGATCCACGTGATTTTCAACGGACTTTGGATTCCCACTTGAGGCCCGAAGAATCTCAAAGAAAAATGGGTCTCCCTCCCCCTGCCCATTCGCATCATACCACCACATCCAACCTCCACCCATCACAAGCAGACGAACCTATGCAACTAAAGTCTCATAAAACTCGAGTCAAGTCTCCTTCAATGTATCATTCTGAACAGCCACAGGCAATGTCACCTATCAACCGACCCGGGCCGCCAACGTCTAGCTCTCCATACAATTCACATGTAGGAGCTATGGAATTTCAAAACCGGAATCAAATCATTCCTCGTATACCACCTCCACCACCACTGATCGCTACCAAAAACTCTCCAAAGCTCCCTAAATCACCCCCAGTCAGTTCGCATCTAGTTCCTCCTCCGACTGGATCCATCACTCATGGGACACCTGTAAGTCATGCTGTGACGTCAACATCAGGTGGTACCCATCCCAGCAACTCTGTCTTGGCACCACATCGAATAGACATCAGCCACCGGCAGCAGACCCCACCTCAGGGATCTATAACAAGGGGAACTCCACGGAACAGAGAACCAGGGACTGGGAGGGGAACCCCTGTTGGCCATGAAACCAGTATACCCAGAGTTTCTCCAGTTATGGATCCCATGCTGGGACGGGGAGGTATGGTGTATGAGCCGAGTATGAGACAGGGGATCCTCTATGAACGACAACCTGTGTTTGAAAAACTCTCTGGCACACCATTCTATCCTTATGTATACCCGGATTTGAATTCTCCAATTCGTACTTCCAGGCAAACAATAATGAGTGACTTTGTTACTGCTCAACAGATGCCTCGGAGGGGGGCAACCCCTTCTGACAAAGATGAGCGGCAGTCTCCGAGGGGTCGTGAAAGCACCCCAAAAAACTACAGTTCAATACCTGAAAACCAAAGAATGCCATCTCCAGCAATGTCACCATACATTTCCCCATCACATAGCATAATCTATGTACCTCATCAGTCTAGCATGAACAATTTAGTTCCTGATCGCATCAATCGGAACTCTCCACTTCCATCCCAAAATACTCCGTCCCCGAGGGAGGACAAAGTCATCACTCCTGTGTCCACTCCTTGGTCAAGCAATCCAAATAAAACTCAGCTGCCTGTCCACAGCTCAACAAATGTTCCAATAGAGCAGTCACGTTATCCACAGTCTCCCCCTCGGCCTAGTATTGTCAAGGGTACTGGCCGACAAAGGCCAGACAGTAGCGGACATTTGCCTGACAGCACAACAATGCCACCAGGGAAAGCTTCTTCCCCAAGGCCTGAAGGACACATGTCACTCTATCCTCAGCCCATAAACTCTCAACCTATCACAATCTCTGGTGACCCACCACATCGGGAAGGGCCAGTGAAAGATCCAGAGATCATATCCAAAGAACGGGAGAGGTATGACAAAGAATATGAAAAAATTGGTCTTGATCAGAGACCAGTGCATGAGTATGGTCGGACGCTGATGACCAATAAGCCCGAGCTGGAAAACCTGCCTCAGCCACCACCCAGTCATGAGCGGCCAAGCTATTCCACTCCTTCAAGGCACGGGACACCATCAGGCATAAGAGATCCAGACCAAAACCGACCGATTCCTATAGACTTAGATCGAAGGCCAGATTCATCAAAAACTCCAGATTCCCAGGATTCTCAACGTTATCGAGGTGGGGACTCAGAAATAATCCGGCCACACAGGTCACCAGCCAATGGCGATGCTTCCCCTAATTTATTGAAATCCCTGAAAAATGACAACATTCCTTCATCAAATTCTGATACAGAACGTGGCGGCGATGATGATCAGCCACGGACTGTTACAGCTGCATATCTGATAGATGCCATCATCATCAACCAGATCCACAAAGGAAATGAAGAAGGTCACAGTGATCCAAAATCTAGGGATGATTTAAAAGAAGCAGGGAGTCGAGCATCTGAGTTATGGCAGAATGAGACTAGAGTGATACAGTCACGTGAGCCTCCCTCTCGGGATCATGTGGTGCGAGAACTCACTCAAAGGGAACTGTCAACTCGAGATTTGCCACGAGAGCAACAAACTCGGGAGTCCTCCTCCCCAGCTGTCATCAATGTTGACCAAGCTGCTTCACCCACATTCACAAAGCGGAAAGGTTATTGTAAATATCAACAAGAGAAAGAAGACAGTGCAGAAAAACCTCTCCTCTATCCTTCTCCACACCCCTCTCCTGGGCCACAAAATATTGGGCCCAATTCTGGAGGGTCGAGTGGAGGTGGCAGCAGTAGTAGTGGTGGTGGTAGCAGTAGCAGCAGTAGTAGCAGCAGTGGAGGTGGTGGCAGTAGTGGTGGAGGAGGAAGTAGTGGGGGCAGCAGTGGTGCTGGTGGTGGTGGTGGTGGTGGCAGTAATGGAAGTGGAAGTGGTAACCACACTCCACAACCCCATCAGGGTCCTTCTACTCAGTCAGCTAGCACTACAGGTGGGGCTGGTAGTGGGAGTGCCAGTGGCACGCCTGGGGACAAAGACAAACCTGGCTCAGGCACAGGGAACTCCAAATCTCCTGGCCCGCCAGGCTCCAACAAAGCCATTACACTTGGTGAGCATATCGATGCCATTATAACACAGGACTACAGTAACCGTAAACTGTTTTACCAAAAAGGTGGTGGACTTCTGAGTCAAATCAATGGAACTAGCAGCAAATCTCCATGTAAGTATATTATTGCTTCATGATTTTTCAGGTTGATCTCCATTTGTTGTAAAAACTTTAAAAAAAAAAAAAAAAAATAAAAGACAAACGTTCTGGCTTTTGTGTTTTACCGAGTCTACTATACATGCAAAGAGAAAAACCATGTATCTTATTTGTCAAACAGATTGATTTAAAATAAAATAACCCTTTAGCATTCAGCCTACACCATAAATATCAGCTCTCAATGTCCAAACCATCATAACTGCCCCTTGCATACTCTGCTATAATATATAATGTCGATGCAAATAATGCAGGAAGTCATGCAAACAGCGAGACTTGGGGAGCCAATATTTATAGGTTGTCTTTGAGCGTGTTGAATGCTAAACGGTTAACTTCAGCATCCATTTGCACACAGAGCTACAAAGATTTATTCATTGGTTAATTAACACTTCCACTACTGTGGACATACTTGTATGTCTTCATGAAAATTATATTGCCTGCTGTTAACATACATTTTCAAAGTCATATGACTTTATAAAGCTTGTATGTTGCCTTCTAATTTGTCACTTAGCTGATTGATGTTATATTCAGATACCTCAACTCTAATTTCATAGACAAACCTTTTTGTAATTTTTTAATCCACTTGTCAGGAGGTTTCAGCAATTGACTGTGGATTTTTCTGTTTTCATTATTTTTCATACTAAGTTAAAAAAAAAAAAATAATTTATAATTTTAGGGAAAAAATTATGACACATTTTATCCTTTAGGACTTCATTAGACTAAAGTGATGTTTACGTTGATGTGACTACACATGCACACAAAGGAAAGGGGCCACTGTTAGCTTTAACTTTATTTACATTTTATACATATATATATGTGTGTGTGTGTGTGTGTGTATGTTTTAGGTATATAGTCTAGCCAATTACATTTAGTTTCTTTTTTGTTTCTATTTCAATCACTTTTGTTATTAAATATCCCATGTTATGATAACAGAAGATCTGCCAAAAAAAGGTGAAATGCTGTAAGAATCCGAATGCAAATTTAATACACGTGCACACATTTTCAAGACTGACTTGTCTGTTGTCAATGCATATGTTTTCAAAACACTGAAACATTGTTTCCTAGCATGTGTTATAAGCTAACTAGTGCTTAGTGCTATTTTCAAACTAGCATAGATATAGTGATGTACAACATGACTTTTTTGACATTTTTATGTTAGGCGGGGAGGTTGGGTCAATTATTTAGTCTTTACTGCAGAGTATCTGATCAAATAAGTTTCCATCAGCATCTTTAAAGTCATGTATTTCCAGTAAATAGCAATTTCCTGTTTTCCACGAACTGGCCAGCACAGCCATGCAGCAATGCTATAAAAATGCAGCAGTGAAAGTGTTAAATAAACAGTCACTATTTTTTGAGTACATTTGGTTGCAGAATGTACGTCAACTTAAACATTGAATTCTTTTTGAAAATAGACTTGGTTGAATCATAAAGTGCCTCTCAGCTGAAAACTTCAGTGAATTATTTTTTTGACAACTGGAAATCAATCTCTTTTTTATCTGTTGTTGGTAATGTCCTTGTGCAAAATACAATTAAAAAATATATATATATCTATCAGTACACAGATGTTCTATACATTACTGGTCCCATCTCTCCTACACTGCTGTCATAAAAGATACCACATTTTATACTAGTGACAAGGCTGTTAATTCAAAAATTGTATCACATTGCAATTTGGTCACCATTTTGTGTTATGTGTAAAAAGAAATTCAAATAGTTTGGTTTTTGTACACATTGATACCATTTTCTATTGAAGCAAAAAACATTTGTTAATGCACTGTGCAATTTTTTTAGATTATCTCACACTATGTAAAGGAAACTGATAGGTTTGTTCTGCATCATCCAAAAAAAAGGAAAGAAAAACTATCAGATCAATTCAATATAAAGTTATTGTTAAATATATTTGCCAATTCAGGAAAGGTCCTAAAAATGGAACTTAGTTTTCAGCCAGGAAAATAATGCTTAATACTGCATGACATACAGATGTGAATATCAGAAAATGATCTCTGTATCCATGCAATAAAGTCTGATTTGATCTTTTTTTTTCTTTCCAGCCAATGATTTTTATAAATCCTTTAATAAAATTCATAATTATAAACCAGCGTGAAAATTAAGAAAATGTTTTTCCTATGCAAAACAGCCATTTGTTATTGATCACGATTTGTACAAAGTTGGGATGTGTGGGTGGTGTAATGGATAAGCAGCTCAGAATGAGAAATTGGAGAGCCAAATCTGATTTCAAGTTGAATTTGTTACATTCACTTATGTGCAAATACTCTTTGGAAAGGTATGAACTGTCCCCTGGCTATGGGTTAAATAATGACTTGTATCTGGAAAAATCATTATCTCTAAAAATTGTTAATGCAATATCATTTACAAATAAAAACAAATTATTCTTATAATCTAAAATCTTGTGGCTGTAAATAACCAGCAAAGGGTTGATAAGCTGTAAAATATAATCAATCAATTGTACTAAGTTATATAAATCTAATATGATGTTACTTTTCTAAGCTTGAATTTTCTGTAATTTTTAATTAATGAGTAAATTTGAGCTTCAAATTTGATTACTTTAGAAAAAAATAACCTCACAATATGACATTATTTGTAGAGTGACGTATTGAATTTTTATGATTTCATTAAAAAAGAAAAAAAGGAGAGCCCCAACTTCGATAAAATATTTATTTCTCCAACAATTTTTAAATGTCAAGCCAAAATAAATGAATAAAAATCCTATATAAACCAAAAGAATACAGAAGAATTGTATAAAAATAAACCATCTAAGTATTAACCCTGAGACCTAACCACTTGTCAATACTCTCTCAGGTAAATTTCACTTGTTCAAAACTTCCTGTGAAGAGCAGAAAAGACTGTTAGACTGTTTCATTATTTTTGATGATTGGATAGTGGAGCATTGTACCCATAAGGTATAACAGGTTAAAATTAAATATCCAAAAATAAAATAAAACCTTTTAAACAAAACAAAATAAAAACCCTTGATAGAAGCATTCAAATAACTAAGTGATGTTACAGACAAACATTTATTTTTTTCATTAACCTTTTTAAAAAAAAAGATATAAAGGCCCAACTTTTATATATTACTTTGTAATTAAGTCATGTTAGGTATTTGTATTCATTTTAAAGTATTTTTTCCTCTAGTTAGAAACTACTGTTGACTGTTGCAAGTTAACATATTGATATTTGAAATTTAACAAATAGGACTTGAAATCTAACAAAATGTCAAAAGATTATTATTTATAATAAACTACTTTTTTCTTTTCCAAACTTTTTAAGTTTTGAAATTGGAAAATGATTTTACAAATTTGGACATGTGAAGATTTTTTTCATTTTTGTGTAGCTATTCAGTTTCAGCTACTATTAAAATACTTACAACGTTCAGCTTTGATGATTAGACCATTAAACCACAAATTAGCTTATAATATGTAGGATACAAAAAGAAGCAGGACAAAGGATTTGAATAAATAAAAAAGAAAAAATGGTGTATTGCTTTTCTGGTTAACTGTTGTATGGTTTAAGTTGAAGAACTGCTTCATAGAAATCACTTATCAAATTGCCCTTTGATGGAGGTTGAATTTAATGCATCAAGATTAAAATGTTGATATCAAGCAAGTGGAACTTGTTCTATTGGAAAAATAAATTTCCATATTGAAATCATAGCAAAAGATTTTGTAGTGACTAACTGTATAATTTTTTTTTTAACCTGTCAGCCAAGTTAATCTCAACTTCTAATTAACATTTTTCTCTTCACATTATTAATCTGGGTCCTGTGAGATTCAGTATGTTCTTTGATTTTTTTAAATTTTTTTTTTTAAATTACAACTTAATGATTTAGAGTTTTTTTTACAGATTTAGTTTTGGTTGATTTTTGACTGTTAATCATTTTAATAAATAAGTGTATTTGAAGTGATGGTTATAGCACATCTTTTAAGTTTCTGTTTTTATGGTGGCTTTAGATCCCAATGAAATTACTGCATTTCCAATTCAAATAAAGAATTGAATGATTTCAGGAAGAACTGAAGATAATGTCAATATTAGCAAATACTATTTAAACAATCCCTACTTTATTAATCAAACATTCCTTACATAAATTTCTCTTTTTGGAAATAAGTGGATCTTAATTTTAATTTAGTATTTTTTTTTTTTTTTTATTTTTTTAATTATACATCTTGGGGTAAATGTTTGAGAAAATAATTTATCGCAACTTTAAAATATTTCTTATGGCTCTGTTCTGAAGTTTTACATAATTACAAATTATATTTTTTCATTTAATAGATATTTTTAAGAAACTATTAACGTTTTTCTCTTCATATTGTTAGAATTTTAGAAACTTCTTCATATTTCTAAAAAGACCTTAACCAATTTGAATAACACTTAACACTGGCTTATTGAAATATGAACAAAATAAAAATTAGATTTTAAATGATGCTTACATTCTTCATACTGATTCAGTGCAATTTGCATTGCTTTATAATTCAGTATGTCACTATTTTTTTTGTTCATTTAATTTCTCCATATACGCACTTTTTTTTTTTTTTTTTTTAACTTTGAAGCATTTCTCTCCCTTGATCCTATTTAATATTTCTACTTGTGCTTTATGTAAATAAGAAAAATTTAAATATTCAGAAGTTTGTGCTTACGGAATATCCAACACTGGATTTTATGCAACATTGTTGTCCTTATTCATATTATAATTTTTTTTTTTTTTTATACTATGTTAAATGTTTGTGAGATATATTTGTTAGTTATAAGCTGATTTTTTTTCCCCTACTATGAAATATATTTTTTGTGCTAGTGACTCATTTAGATACTAATTCCAATTTAAACTTTTATAGTTAAAATGTTTGACAATCTGGTTTATTATTATGTTTCTACAAATAGATTCATTCACCCTTTTTTTTCCATTTCAGTTTTTTTTCTTTAACATTCTACTTTTTTGATTTGTACTTGATGTTTTGTTTGTTTTTTGTCTTCTTTCTCTTCAAATAATAAACAATATTATAGGAAGATCTTATTTCAAGCAAAATTGTCAGATTTTGCATCAAATAATTGATATCCATTTGCATTTTTCAAGTTAACCAATTTGCTAATAAATTATTATTTACTAATTATTTACTACAAAATAATGAATGATGTAATTTATATATATATATATATATATAGTATTGTATTATATGACTTGAAAACAAATGGATACATTAATATTTATAATACAATAGGAAAATTAAGTTAAAAGGTAGTTTCAGTTTGTAGAGGTGGCAGGTTTTTAGTCCCACTCTCCTTTATTATCAGTTTCCATTCCAATTTTATATAAATAAATTCCCGTTGAAATGTCAAATTCTTGTGGGCTAAAGATTCTTTGACTGGTTTATTTGAATCTAGTCACCTTTTAAGAATGTTTTAGACCCCTATAAATTATGCTTGTGGAATTAACTCAGTACAGGCTTCAGGTATTTAATGCTTGCATGAATAGAGGCAATAAGTACCAAATAATAACATTAAATTCATTATTAGAGACTTTGATCCTTGCAGTTTTTCTACTCTGCTCAGCCTTCTCCCCATTTATTGTATGATTGGGAACAAATGAGAAATGAGTAAAAGTTTTCATTTTTTTTTTTATCCCCCACAATGGAGTGAGCATGGGTACAATTGAGAATATGTTCATTTTTGTCCATCTCATATACAGATATGAAATATTAATACTTTTCTCTATTTGTTGCTTATATATATATATATATATATATATATATATATATATATATGCAGCATATATTCATTCAAACATATTTCATTAAATAATATAGACATATGTCTTTATTTTTATAATAAGCATTTCTAGTTCTCTAATCAGCTTCTAGATGTTAAATTGAAATTCATCAAGGAAGGCACTGTAGTTTTTTTCTTATCCAATTACTTTTGATCTCCTTTGAGATCATAAGTTTGTCTTTGCAATACAACCCTATGAATGATCTTGGAGGCAATTGAAAGTACTTGGGTAAGAAAAAAACTACAGCTCCTTCCTTGATGATTTTCAACTTAACATCAAGAAGCAGATTAGAAAACTAGAAAGGATTATTATAAAAATAAAATAAAAAAAATTTTAAAAAAGTAGCCAGAATATGTCTATATTATTTAATGAAACACGTTTGAAAATATATATAATATCACCTATAATTAGCAGCCCATTTTATTTGGTTTTGTTGAGTCTGATGGTTTGCTTTCCCTCAGATAACTTTTCACATTATACAGTTTTCTCCCCTTGGGTCAATTTCTCTATCCCACACTATCCCAGCACAAACTTGTTGAATATCAATATGCACAAATGTAGCAGCTTTTCAGTGGGCATCATTCAGAAATGTAAGGCTGATACAAATTTTGTGTGACATTTTTTTTTTTTCCTTTGAACGAGTCTTTCTTTGTCAAAGACATTAACTTGAAAACTATCATATTATCTGTTTTGGCTGCTTAATGAATGTCACTTAAAGAATCATGTTCATGTTTCTGTTTGCCACAAATGGTGACTTATTTTGCAATTTACCACTGACCCTACAAGTATCCCTTTCCCATTCACCCATGACCTGTGCATCTCTACCCAAAATACACCACCACCTTATCATTCAACACTTTCAAATCAAAAAATACAAAAAATAAAAAAAATAATTGTCCAAACAATTTATCCTTCACATAAAATCTGTTTTCTTAATTTTTCTAATCAAGGCCAAAGTATATGCAAAAAAAAAAAAAATCAATAAAGAAAAAGCTGCAAGATTGTTTAAGCAAATGAAGAGAGAGAAGTATTCTGTTTTTGGACAGAAATGTCTGAAAAAGTGTTGTAACGTTTTTTTAATTGACAGAAACTAAAATTTCCTTCGCTTTATTTAGTTTCTGTCCACCCTTCTACAGCCCCGGCTGGCAGTTTACCTGCTAACATGTCTGCTGTGATCAATAACGAGTATGCTATATCGGGACCGATGAAGTCACCATTACACCAGCCCCCAATTGGACAAGTGGCAGTAGAGCCTGGTTACTCGCAAGGAGGACCTGAGGTGATGCGGATACACTCTGGTTTCAGCCAGAGTGCACATTCCCAGTCAGGTTATAATTGGAAACAAAAGAGAATGCAACAACATCAGGTGAGGATCACAGTGGCACTGATTATAAGTTCATAATTATACATACACACTAATTAAATTGTTATCACTTGATTCTCTTTATAAAATTCTGAAGTAATTAAAAATCACTCAATTTACTTGAGTCTATATTTCCATGTATAGTGTAATAAAGTCTTTAGGGAGAGAATACCTCTCTCTCTTTAGTCTGCACATTTTTAAGTCAGAAAATGACAGTCTTCTTTTCAGTGAAATTATGACCTTGTATAAAGACTGTCAACAGAACATGAAAATTATTCATATCAGTGTTAATGTGTACTCACATACAGACCCTCAAATCTTTTCATATTGGAGTTTTTTTAAAATATATATACAAAATTCCAAATATGAAGCCCTGTTAAGAAAAATTGTCCTGTGAGGTTTTTCTCATACCCAATGTGTGACTCTGATTCTGAAATTCAGTATTCTAATCACTCAAAGAAAAAAAAATATATTTGAGTGGGGGGAAAAAAAAAATTAGCTGTATGTTTTGAAACTGTTTTCAATACAGTTGAAACTAAAGCTGGTAATGTTATTCACAAGATTGTTCAGAGATTGTAATCACTGGAACTTCATGACTCTGACATCATTTGGGGTATATATGCATTTGGCAAAAATATTTCCTAAACTATATCATCCTTTTTCATTCTGGTAATTGAACAGAGGTGGGAAAGATTAGTGTATAATGATATTAAAAGGGCAAGACTGGTCACTGTTATTTAGTATACAAAGTAGAAGAAACCTGACTTTAGAATTTAGGACTTGGCTGAACCATTTAGACGTATGGACTTCCATTTGTTCATTTTATATCATTTCTTTTCAGGCAGTTACTTTATAGAATCAGTAATTGTATAATTAATTACTTAATGACATATAAAATGATAGTTCATTTCACTTGAACACCTCCACATTTTGCTAAAAGGTCTCAAAGTCTAATCAGCTGTATGAATAGTATGACATACCAAGATCAGTTGATCCTATCAGAAAAGCTACTTAACAGACCTGTACTGAGTAAAGCATCAGGGGAGGCGGGGGGGTTGAACTGGTGGTCACTTGAGTACAATGTAATTAAACAATATTACCTTCATATGTTTCAACATATGTGAATGGATTTTAGATTTCACCAATGGCAAAACCAGCTTCAAAACTGCACCAAAATAATCCCGAAATGCTTCTAAAATGTTTAATGAACCTGTCAACATTGAATGCTGAATGTCACTTTATTTCTGTTTCCCCAAATGTTGTGTTATGATAGTTAATAATTGTGTTAATGGTGGGTATCTTGTTTTGCAAATAGTTGTTGATCTTTTTGTTCACTTTTTCAGGAGGCTGAGCTGCAACAACAACAGCAGCAGCAGGTGGCTACTTCCACAAGTCAACCTCCACCCCCACCACCGCCACCACCGCCACCTCCTCCACCTATAGAAGCCAGCATGGGTCAGATTCCCAGATTGCTTCATTCTAACCCCAGCCCAGAAGAGTATGAAATTGTACAAGAAGACATCAACTGGATTCGTCCAGAACAGACCCATTCACCACAAAATCGAATACCACATGTTGGTGGTATTAAAATTGAGCCAATCTCGCCACCAGGTAAGTGATATACAAAGATTTTTTTCTTATTTCAGTTTACAAAAACAAAATTTGTCAATGGGATGGAAAAAGTAGCTTGTGCTATATAACCCTTACAAAATATTCTGTATTGTATATAAGTTTTTCAAAATCCATAACTAGTTAATTTATTTTTTTTATAAGAAAAACTAGTTACTGTCAATCTCTGCAGTTAGTATGGTCTTTGCTTATAAATTAAGGCTCTAACATCATATTTGAGTTTGATTAAGCATTGTTGAATTCAGTCAGTATTTATTTGTACCTGGAATACATAAATGTCAATATAAAGAATTTATAAACATTTAATATTTGTGAGAAGCTAAAACCCCCTACATTAGGTGTGTAATGAAATTTGGATATTTAAAAACATATAACAGTGACTATTATTCTTATAATTTAAAAGCATGTAATAGTGACTATTATTCATTCATAGTTAAATTTGTTTCTACATTTCCGTTTTTACTGAGTTGTCCATAAAATGTTTTTCTATGTACTTCCCTTATCTCTCTTAAAATGTTATCTATTCTGTTAAACGCATTATTTTGGAACTTTAAACAACATAGGTATCATTTTTGAAGGAATAGTTAAAATCACTCCTCCTATTTTATTTTGAACAACTGTGCACACTACTTATTGAATAATGGGTTAGGGAAATATTTATTTGTAAATCTTAATTGTTAGCTTTGCTAGAATACTACAAAATATTGATAGATGTAAAATTAAGATGTTTTTTTCTCTCTCTTTCTCTTTCTTCCCCTACCCATTTTAATGAACTAATTATAATTAACTTTTTTTTTTTTTTTTTTTTATCATTAGAGCTTTTACTTGCTGCTTTTCATTTTAGTTTTTCAACTATTAATTTATTTTATTTATTGATATACAAGAATATCTTTTATTTCACTTATCTCGACATTCTATACTTTTGTTTTCATCCCTTAGGTCCTTTTATAACATGTCATTATCATCATCATTCACAGCTAGAATTTATTCTTAAAAAAGGGGGAAAAAAGTCCTCTTGCTTTAATATTCAATACAAGAAGCTATGTTATAATTATAGAAATAGTATTTCTTATACATTCTTATATACAACATTTTACTTATTTTTACCTAAAACCTGTAATAATCATTTAGATTTCTATGATCCCTATGGTCAGTGTAGATTGCCTTTTTAAATATCCAATGAAAATATTCTGACAAAACCTTGTGTTTTCTGAGCCACTTTTCTTAGTAACTTTTATTTTAAGCTGATTTTATTTATATATTCTTTTTAATTTAATATTTTGTTTTTATTTCCTTGCTAAGAAATGTTCCTTCCTCCATGGTGGAATACTGCTAAATCTTCTTAAACTGTGGGATTCCTGTACAATTTCCACTTCAAAAAACAAAAATTTCATGTTATAAGCATTAACATTTCTCATTCCAGGGCCTTCAGTGTCTGAAAGCAATGAGGCTATGTCATCCAAAATATCCCCATCACGTTCTCCCAGGGCACGGCCAACGCCAGTAGTTGCCCTCCATCAACAAATTTCAAGTCTCCTCTCTAGGCCTAAAATTGGTAAGATTGCTAAGCCTGTCTTCCTGTCTACTGTTCTAGTTGATTGATTAGCAATCCCAGCCATTACTAGCTGTAGTAATCAGGCTGTGCAATTAGCATGACTCTTCTTTCTTGATGTGAAAAATCAATACATTTGGTGGTAATCTGCAGTCCTCCAAATGTTATACTGTAATCTACTGTAGGCGCTGTTAGCATGCTTCACATAGTAAACATTGCTTGAACCAAATATATAATGATACATGAAAACTATTATTCTTTCTACATGCCCAATTTCTGGGTTTGCATGGTGCCTCTCATTCTGGTCACATTTATGACTTTAATGTTGAATGCACTTGACTAGGCCTTCTCTCTCACTTTTCCATTTATATCACTTAGTATCGACATTCAGTTAGTATCTCCATTAGTTTTATTTAATAACGATTACTTATGAATGTTTTATTTAACTATTTAATTAGATTGTTAGTTAACATTTGATTATATAAAGATCCAGTGTTTAAAACTGGTTCCACACGCAACAGTTTATGATTTATGGCCACTTTAATAATTTGTTTAGTTTTATATTTTAGTACATAAACTTTGTAAATTATACTTTTGCTGACTAAACTCCCCTTCTCTACACAGTTAATGAAAAAACAAATTCCTTTCAGCAGACATTTTCTTTATCTTGATTGTTCAATACATGGTTTTTAAAAATATAGGTGCATTTTATATACTTTAAAATACATATCCATTTTACTTCCTCCTCCTCTTCTTTCTCTCTCTGCTTCATCTTTTATGATGGCTTCTTCTATTCAACTCTCGACTAACATCTATATCATTTTCTTTGCTCTCCTCATATTCTGATCTGTTCATCTTTCTCTCTAATTCAGCTTTGCAAGTAAATTTCTATTTTTCAAATATTCTTGTGTGATTTGCAACTTGCTTTTTAACTTTACAGATTTGTGAAAACAAGAATTAATAAATTAATACACATAGTATATCATCTCTTTTAAAATCTCTTCATCCACTGTTATTAGTGCAATTATTTATCTTGATAGCTAAATCCCCCACCCTCATTTTTTTTTTTTTTTTTTTTTAAGTTTTCAAGGACATAAATATCATATACATATTAGTGCATGTTTGCTTGCATTAATGATATATGTAGTTTTAATAATTGCATTACCTAAAAAATAAATTGATATATGTAAAATTATATAATTTGACATAATTTTTATTAATTAATAGTGCTATATAGATTTGTTGTGCAATAATTATTATCCTAAAATACAGATCACAATACTTAACTATGACCAACTAAAAGTTCCTCAATGCTAACACTTCTCAGGAGCAGATTAAAATATATTATTGACAGAATATATATTTTTATATATGCATATTAAATCTAAAATTTTCTATGCTGACAACTGTCAATCCTGTGACAACTGAAAACCTGAATATTCAAGATATATATATAATTTACTTGTTACTAGAATGATATTTTCTAAATATAGAAAGCAACAAATATTTGAAAATTTTATATATATATATATATCCTCTTTTATACAAGTTTCTTAAAAATGATAGACAAGGTACTGCAGTTAAGTTCATTTAATTTCTTGCATTTGTATAAAAAAAAATTTTTCTTGACATAAATTATATAGGAATTTTCCAAATGTTTTGTATCTCAGAGTGCTTTTGGCTATTTTTAGCCATTATTTGGACAATTTCTATATACTCCATGTTCAGAAAAGAAGAAAAATTATAAGAACACATGAAAAATTAAATAAAAAACTTTACCACAGTACCATGTCAGTCTTTTTTAATGAGACTTGTGTGTATGTATGTGTGTGTGTGTGTGTGTATATATATATATATATATATATATATAAAATAAATTTTTTAAAAAGAATTCAAAAACCAACCCCTACCCCCACTGAAGTAAATGTTTTTACGTAAGATGTAATGGACAATCAAATTACAAGTATATAACAGACCCTAGATACAATTTATTAATGCTTTAAAGTAAGCATTAGATTTTATAGGAAATCAGGATAAACAATTAATCTACAATATTTTGTAATTAAAAAAATAAAATTTACGCATATTAAACTCTAAATATAACCATGCATCATGTTTAGAAACTAACAAAATTATTCAAAGAAAAAAAACTGAGAAAATATATCTAAACTTTTATGTATTGTTCTTAGAAATAGGTTAAATTTTTCATCTGAATCTGAGTGGTGGTAAGAGGTGCAATATATAGTTACATTGACAGGGTTGTGATGTTAGGTTTAGTGGACAAGGGAGAAAGGTTTAAATAAACTTCTTGGGGCTAGACATACATACATCATATCATAATAGATAAACACATAAATGTGATTGAAATATACAAACGACAAACAGATTCATTAAGATTCAATCTTCCAACATAACTACAGAAGCAATGCAAACTACCAGTCAAAACTTCATAAACATTAATAATTGAAAACTTATATATATATAATATATATATATATATATATATATATATATATATATATATATATATATATATATATATATTACAGATTTGTATACAATATTTTATCTAGCTAGAAAGCAAGTTAAAAGGTAATTTATGCCTGCAATTAGCAGTGAGCTCTTTTCTTTGTTTTAAAAGGTTTATCTTGTCCTTAAATCTAATGATAAAATAAAGGGGATAAGTATTTTATTTTATATTTAAAATAAACAATTAAAAAATTAAAGTAGATGTGCCTAAAACTATGTGAACAAAAAAAAAAAAAAAACATTTTTAAAGTTGTGTGAGATTATTTTAGCAGTATTGCCACAAATCTGCTCTAATTCATTTTAAGGAATAATTTAAATGTAGTATATTTAAGGCATCATTTATTTTATTTTTTTTACCTACTCTTTCTAAAACATCCCTGTAAATTGTTACTGAATTTCTTCAACAGGTTTTGAAAATGTTCATTATTGATATAAGATGTGGGAAATAATTTGTGTTCAATAGTAGACTGAAGTCTAGTGAGTATTTGCAATCTATTTAATGCTTTCACTTACTCTGCTTCACTTCAACATCTCTAAATTTTTTCATTGTTTCAACTAATATAAAGCATCTTTGTAAATGAACTGTTCATTCCAAATGTTGGATTACTATTTCATTATTTTCAGTTGTGATTTCAAAATATTTGGGATTATCACTACAGGATTATATATGAAGAATCCATATACAAAATGCATTTTCCTTTCTTTCCTGATTTTTTTCCCTACCTCCAGTCTTTTATTAAATGTAATCAAAACAGTAGAAATAATCAAAATTGTGATCATACACATAGGTATATTACTAATGATAAAAAGAAGCATTCATTATATACAAATATTTTTTTTTAAATCCTTCCTTGTTAACACATTTGTTTTTTTCAACAGTGAATATTCATTACAAACATTAACTATTCTGCTGTGAAAATTTCAGTTCAAAATTCACTTAATATGTCAGTCTAAAGGTTTATCAATCTCCTTTTAGAATATGATGGTAATTTTTACACAAAGAAAGAGTGTAATTCTGAAGAGCAGCATTGGATATAATCAATATTTTATTAACATTATTAATATTATTGACGATTCTTATTTTTAAATAAACATTGAATTGGTTTTAAAATTGACATTACCTCATATTGTAAGTTGAATATTGATTATCTATAAGTATATTTTTTTTCTCCTCACAAAAAATATTCTTAAACATTCTTAATAGCAAATTTAGTTGAGATATTTATTTAGTTGTTTAATAGATTTGTTTTTCTATTTGTTTTATGAGTTAAACTTGAGTCTGTGCCAGTCATTGACTTGTTTTTCAGGTTTCATCTTATTCTGGAGCATATTTTCATAAAGAACTGGCTGATTTTAAAAGTTAAAAAAACTCTCCTATGATCCATCTATCCTTTTCTTTCTTTTTTTTCTTTCTGAAACTAGATAACCATAATTTTATATTGAATGTATTAAATCAAAGAATTTTTAGTTACATGTGCTTGAAGGATAAAATTGTATGCTAAGAGCATTGAAGAAAATGTTTCAATGTTCTTTCAGATGAATATTTCGGTGTCTGCATGTATACTAAGTGATATGTTCTCTTATTTTCCTTCTAGGATGTTTTTTTTTTTTTTCTGTATATGTCTTAAGAAAAAAATTGAGGTATTTATTTTACTTGCATTATATTGTAGCCGATTGTAATTACAAGCTCAGTTTGTAATTAAGAATTTTAAGACATTGAATGGGTGTGTTCAGTGATTGACAGATCAATGTCCAGTCTTCCAGTGGTTAAATGGAAATAGAAGCAGCACTGGTGAAATTCTAAAAGCCGAAATAGCTTGTGTTCAGCTTGTCTGGTTTTCACCCATCTGCACGTTGAGAGTGAGCTTCCCCAACTTAGAAAAAAAACTGGTGTTATATAGCTCTCCCAGTCCCAGACCCATGCTGACTATTGGCTAATACCTACCCAGTATCATTCATAGGCAAATAGTCAGCACCACCTACTCTAATTGGAAGGTCTTCTCTCAACAGCCCATTGTGGAAGAGGACAAACTCCTGGCACTTACAGCACCACATACAACCAACTTAGTCTTTTATCAGGCTGACCTGATTCTCTGTTACAATGGGCTTGGAAAACAGTTATAATTTGTCAACATATTTTTTTCTTTTTTAGTTAAAGAAAAACATTTAATTGCAAATAACTCTTTTACAGTCATATAAATTGGTAATAAAAAATTTAGTATTCAATAACTTATGATTACAAATCTTTCTTTGCCATTTTAAAACAAAAGAAAAAAAAAGCAAATGTCATTGTAATTATTGTTGATTATTGCAACATCAAGCAAATGTGTAAATAACTTTTAATGAAAGGTTGCAGATGACAGTTGTACCAGTATATAGTAAGAAGTTTTTAAATTGTTTAATATTTTATCATTGGAACTATGCCTAAGATTTAATAAATATTAAGCTTTGAAGTCTAAGATTATTCTTTACCT